CAGGTCTTTCTTGAAAAACGGCTTTTATTATTATTTTTAAACATTTTTCTTTTATAGTTTACTTATTTTTATTCTACGTGCGTTGGTGTTTTGCCTAGATGTATGTGTGTGAGAGTGCCAGATTTTGGAGTTTCAGACAATTTTTAGCTGCCATGTGGATGCTGGGAACTGAACCCAGGTTCTTTGAAAGAGCAACCAGTGCTCATAGCCACTGAACCATCTCTCCAGCCCTTATTATTATTGTTTTTAACAAAATAGAACCAGCCAATAAATTTAGAAGAATGGTAGAATTTTTTAAAAAATCACTGGGTGGTGGTGGCGCACACCTTTAATCCCAGCACTCAGGAGGCAGAGGCAGGCGGATCTCTGATATCTGTGAGTTGAGGACAGCCTGGTCTACAAATCGAGTTCAAGGATAGTCAGGGCTTTTATATAGAGAAACCCTGTCTCAAAAAAAAAAAAAAAAGTCATGTTTTACAGCTGTAGTCACCTCTGAAATAACTAACAGAGGTGAGGCACACCTATGATGCCAAAACCTCCAAATGCACCAATGCTGTCTAACAAGGTAGTCATATGTTCTTTAGAGAAAAGGAGGGACATGCCAATCACAATCCAGGTGCCTTATCTAACTTAGCGCCCCCAGTCATGGGACAAACTTTGTTTTCTGGACTGATGCAATGTGAAAACCTCATTTTTATGGTGGTTTTACCGTATTTCCAAACAAATCTAGAGTAAGCCATTTTAAAATATTGTCATGAAAGTCTCACGCCACCTCTAAGGTGTAGAAGCTCCGCTGGACTAAAGAGGACTAACGCAGCGTAAGGACCCAAAGCAGTGAGTGGATTCAGAACACAAGGGGTCGTCTGTGAACAGCCAAGGAACTGGAGATGCACTGTACATTAACACATAGTATTATTCACAGGCCTGGAGAGATGGCTCGGTGGGGAGAGGTGCTAGCCACCAACACTGACAATCTGCTTCCTCCTCAGGGCCCACTGGAGAGAACTGACTCCCATAATTTGTCCTCTGCCCTCTATGCCTGCACCACGGCACACACTGCACAAACACACACAGCCCCATCCATAAATAAATTAACTTGTACTAAGAAAATCTAAATCTCAGGGGTGGATGATGGTATCTGAGAACCCCTGCTCTGAGGTGCAGTTTCGGGGTGCAGTCCCTGAGGCTGCCATGGTCTTCAGATGCCAGTCAAAGGGCCCAGGTTGGGGCAGTAGATGTGGTGCATCTGTCAAGAGCACTTTGGTGCTTTTGCAGAGGACAGGGGTTCCATTGTCAGCACACACAGAGCAGCTCCCATCGCTAACTCCAGTTCTAAGGGATCTGACATGCTCTTGTGGCCTCTGCAGGCATCAGACATGTACATGTTACATATACATATATGTAGGCAATGTATACACACAAAGGAAAATAAACAGCTCTGTTTTTAAGAAGTCTCAGGTGGTCCCCATGCTTTTGACTGTCTGATCACACGTCTCAAGTCACCACACCCCACTCTTTGTACTCCACTGATTTGCTATGACAGCTCATGAAACACATCGAGACACTTGCCTTACAGCTACCCATTCATGAGGATCTTGCACATCCTGCAGATGGACACCGGAGGAAGACAGACTCAGGAAGAGGGCCGTGGGAGGGCTTCTCTGGTCCCGCTGTGTGTGGGAGGCACCTGTCACATTCTGCCACTACTGCCAGCCACTGGCTTTCTAGTTGAGCCTAGTTGTGAGTGTTTGAGCTTTGAAGTCTGCTGCCCACACATAGCGTTTTACCCTCTCTGGGTGAGCTGCCCTGCGGCTTCTGGGTGTTTGACCCTCCAGGTCTCTGCGAGCACTGTCCTTCAGGGTCTTCTAAGTGCTTCTCTCTGAGTGACTGTGGTGAGTGACTGTGCGCAGACCACTGGGGAGCAGCCACCTCCCCTCCCCGGAGGTTGGGAGAGGCCTTAAAGTTCCAATATTCTGGGGCTGGAGAGATGGCTCAGTGGTTAAGAGCATTGCCTGCTCGTCCAAAGGTCCTGAGTTCAATTCCCTGCAACCACATGGTGGCTCACAACCATCTGTAATGAGGTCTGGTGCCCTCTTCTGGCCTGCAGTCATACACGCAGAAAGAATATTGTATGTATAATAAATAAATATATAAAAAAATAAAATAAATGTTAAAAAAAAAGTTCCAATACTCCAATCACTCCCTGTCTTTCCTGGTAACCAGTCCTGAAACTATCTGAAGGTCGCCAGCCTCCAGTTGTGCCCAGAGGCTCACTGTCACTCGGGTCACACTGAAGAGTCCAGGGTTTTAGGAGCAGAGCGACAGGAAGTGGAGATGAATCAAATATCTATCCCGTATTGTATCCTAGAGGGAGGAGGTAAATGCTTTCCTGCTTCTTGGCAGAATCACTCTAGACCACTTGAAATCACTTAAAATTATCACCATTTTAAGATTTTTACTAAGTTTGTTTACTAATTTGTGTGGAAAAGGAAGGCATGGATGCACACACATTCCATGGGGCTGTGTGGAGCCCAATGGACAACTTGAAGGAATGAGTTCCCTCTCATCATACGGGTCTCAGGGACTGAGCCACCTCACCGGCCCTACTAACATCTTTTTTTTTTTTTTTTTTAAGCATGAAATCTATTGCACTGCTTTGGTTACCCAGCCAGGTCTTAGGAAATGGGTACAAGTGGGATACTATTCTCAATGGTGGAAGATACTAGAACGCATCCGGAAACACTACATGTGGGGTTACTTACAGGCGATAGCGTGGATCCGGTGCAGTGGGCACCAGAGGATGAGAAAGCTGAACAGGAGAAGGTGGAAACTGAGTGATAAACCACCACCGCCACAAGCAGCATAGGGAGGAAGCGTGTGTCGCCTCCTCTTCCGCATCTCAGCCTACCTTTGATGGAAGTCGGAGGCAGGAATTCAAAACAGGAACCTGGAGGCATGAACTGAAGCAGGGGCCAGGGAGGAGTGCTGCTTACCAACTTCCTGGCTCACGGTTGGCTCAGTCTGCTTCCGTCTACACTCTAGGACCATTCCTGAGGTGACACCAGCCACACTGTGCTGGGTCTTCCCACGCCAATCATCAGTCAAGAGCATGCACCACAGGCTCGCCCACCGTCCAATCTGGTGGGGGGTTTTCTCTTCCTAGATGACTCCAGCTTATGTCAAGTTGACACAAAACTAGGCAGTGCGCCATTTGCCCTCCTATCTCTAGCCTTCCTGTGTGTGGGAGGTACCTCTCACATTCTGTCCCCTTCACTGCCAGTCACTGGCCTTCTAGTTGAAGTCGGCTGCCCCTGTGTAAACCTCAACCCTGCAGAGTGAGTCCAGCCAGGCTTCTCAATCGTGATGAGCCTGAGGCTTAACCGCTGATTAACTGAATGAATGCAGTGTCTTCAATAGCATGGGCCTGCTGCCAGGTGTGCGCTGTGCCACACAGTACCTATGTACTCAATGTAGGCCTTGCTGTTCCCTCTCACAGCCAGCAGAAATCTCTGCTGATGCCGCTGCCTTGTCCAACCCTGCACCCATACCAGCTGATCATCAAGCTTGGTCTCATGTACTTCCTATTGCAGGTCCTAAATCACCATGCCCTTTATTTTTGTTGTTGTTGTTGTTTATATACTTTTATTTTAAATGCATTGGTGTTTTGCCTGCAGATAAGTCTGTGTGTGTCAGATCTTGGAGTTACAGACAGTTGTTAGCTGCCATGTGGGGGTTGGGATTTGAACCCTGATCCTCTGGGAGAGCAGTCAGCGCCCTTAACTGCTGAGCCATCTTTCCAGGCCCACCCTGTCCTTTTTAACTTCCTGTCTCTCTGACCTGCCCAGCAGGTCCTAAGTTATTCCAGGGTCTGAAGAGGCACTATCTGAAAGACATGGGCAAGAGAGAGAGAGAGAGAGAGAGACGGACAGACGCCAAGTGGTATTTTTTTGTCAAGGCATCCATTTATTGAAGCAAGTTCTATGTCTTAAATAAGCAGGGCAGTTACAAGGTCAGTGGCTAGAACACCTGCTGTTAGTGATGAGCAGCAAACAAAGAAGACACTCTGAGGTGCCTTCTGAAGCTTGAATCTCCCACGTTAGCACACTATGTCTCAAGGTTTTTACTTCAAGGCCCTGTGAGACTTGAGAAAGGAGAAGCCTGAAATGGCTCCTGACATCTCTCTCTTGTAATAACCACCTGGTGGCCTCTCTTTTTCCCACACTTACCCCCAGGTCCCAAGCTGGTCTTCGTTGCCAATATTAGCATCATTATAAATTTAGCGTAAGGCATCCTGCCATTCCCATGATGTCTGAGCTCCTGCCATGCCTAGACTCCTGTTCAGGTCTCTAGCTTTGTATCCTAAGCTCTGCCCAGTGCTCCTAGCCTTCCAGTGATCTGGCTGCCTTCAAACACACCCTGATCACCCTCAGGACACAGGCTGCAGACCTCTGTTTACGTCTGCCAAAGATGTCTACCCCACATCTTCCCTCACAGGGCTTCCTCCTCTTGCTTGTCCACTGGGTCTGAGCTCAAATGACATTCTCTCATGCAGGTCTTCCCAAGCCGTTTCATTTATTTATTTATTTATTTATTTATTTATTTATTTATTTATTTATTATGTACAATATTCTGTCTGTGTGTATGCCTGCAGGCCAGAAGAGGGCACCACATCTCATACAGATGGTTGTGAGCTACCATGTGGTTGCTGGGAATTGAACTCAGGACCTTTGGAAGAGCAGGCAATGCTCTTAACCACTGGGCCATCTCTCCAGCCTCCCCAAGCCATTTCGTATCCCCCTCTACTGCTCACTGTTAGCCTTGCTTATTCTCATCAGAGCACTGGCCATTAACAAGAAACAGGTTGCTCTGATCACTGGTCCCTAGTCTTCCAGCCCTTGCTGAATATAATAACAGACCTGAGGGTGGAGGGGGCTCTGTGCCTTTTCAGCTGGCACGCAATAGGTGCTCACTAAGACACTGGTGAGTTGATTCAAGTGTAGATTCAAATGTGTGCCTACAGGTCATGGGGTGTCACTGTACATCCCCCGGTCAGCCATCAATGCCACGGTCCAGGAAGACATCCTGCTCTCGGTGGAGTACTCCTGCCATGGAGTGCCCACAATCGAATGGAAGTACACATCAAACTGGGGTGAGCAGAAGATCGTGGAGTGGAAGCCGGGGACCCCAGCCAATGTCTCCCAAAGCCACACAAACAGAGTCTGCACCTTCGACAATGGGTCCATCCAGCTCTTTGGTGTGGGCGTGAGGGACTCTGGCTACTACATCATCACTGTCACGGAGCACCTGGGGAGCAAACAGTTCGGCACGATCATGCTGCATGTGTCTGGTAAGAGAGCCCAGGGCTCCTTGAACTACAGGCCCAGGCGGGCGACTTTGTAGTAGAGGGAGACCTTATCTTCCCTCCTGTCCCACAGAGATCCGCTATGAAGACCTCCACTTTGTCGCTGTCTTCTTTGCTCTGCTGGCCGCTGTGGCTGTGGTGCTCATCAGCTTCATGTGGGTCTGCAACCAGTGTGCACACAAATTCCAGAGGAAGAGGAGACACAAGCTCAGAGGTGATGCTCTAGGCATTGTGATGATCCCTTCATGGGGACACAAGCTCAGAGATGACGCTCTAGGCATTGTGATGATCCTTTCATGTGTCTGAGGCCAGAGGTGGCACCTGTTACCTCATTCGCTGTAAGAAACCATTGTGTGGTAGGCTTTCAAACTCTTGGTGTGTGTGTGTGTGTGTGTCAGAGGTTAACACTGGGGGTCTTCTTCAAACACACTCCACCCCTTATTTCTGAGGCAGTTTCTCTGACTGATCACTGGCTGCCCAATAAATCCCAGTGCCCCGACACTGGGATTACAGATTGGGGCTTTGTGCATGGGTTCTGGGGCTCTGGCTTCAGGTTCTTATGATTGCGCATTTAACCAGCTGAACTATCTCCTCAGCCCTTTGACTTGTCTTTTCCTTCACAGAAAGCACCACCGAGGAGCTTGAAATGAAAGATGCTGAGTGTTAGCCAAGACTGTGCCCAATTACACTGCTACCTCAAGAGAAAAACAGTATTTTCCAGTTTGAGGAACAGACCGAGGCAATCTTCGCCGCAGCCTCTGGCCATCCTTTTCTGACAGAGACAGCTGCAAGATCAGAAAGCTGTTGGAGGAGCCTGAGGTGGCGCCTCACTATAGGAAGCCTCTCTAGAACTTGCATGTAGGAACAGATCAACTGAGACTTTCGGCCAGAAACTTTTCTCACTTGCAGCTTCAGGGCCTTGCTGATCCTTAACCAGTGACACCAGCAGGCACCAGAAGCTGCTTGCAGTACTGGCTCTGATCCCACGCTGGCATGATGGAGGAGTCCCCCTCTCCAGGGCCAGAGTGTCTGCAGAGAGGCTCATGCAGCCAGCATCCAGCATTGGGACCGTGCTCTCTGTGTCTGCCCGCAAACTGCTGCAGCCTCGTCTCCACCTTCAGTTACATACACACGACTGTGCAGACAGTGTGAGCAAGCCTGAGGCTCTGAGCCGGTCTCATGAGGTCGAGAGCTGCACCTCAGGAAGCCCAACTGAGTACACCGGGGAAGCAGAAGATTGCGTTCCCATCCTCCCTCACACAAAATTAATCAGGCGGCCTAACCTTGGGTTTAGTGAGAGGAAGATGTGACTTGTGTTGACCAAGGCAGCTGGATGGGCGGTACAACAGGAAACTACTGTAAGGTCAGGCTTCATTCAGTTTCATCCTATCCGGTCACTAACACTCGACCTCCAGTCAGATCCCAGGCTGAAGATGTGGCCACGCCTACCTCACAGGGCATGAGGAGAAGCCACCATTAGGCTACATGTCTCGGAGCGATTAAGAAAAGCATGAGAGGGCTGGAGAGATGGCTCAGTGGTTAAGAGCATTGCCTGCTCTTCCAAAGGTCCTGAGTTCAATTCCCCGGCAACCACATGGTGGCTTACAACCATCTGTAGTGAGGTCTGGTGCCCTCTTCTGGTCTGCAGTCATACACACAAGCAGAATATTGTATAAGTAATAAATAAAAAATATTAAAAAAAGAAAAGCATGAGAATCCCTGAAGCATCTGGAAAGCTATGTGGGAAAGTGCTGTATTGAGAAGCAGCGATCTAAGGTGCCCTGGGATGGAGCCAGAGAGAAGGTTCAGCACTAAGCGCCCTTGCTGCTCTCACAGAGGACCCAGATTCAGTTCCGAGCGCCCACACGGTGGCTCATAACCTTCTGTAACTCCAGTCCCAGGGGATCTGATGCTCTCTTCTGGTCTCCATGCATGCACATGGTGTACACATATACATAAATAAAATTTAAAAAAAATTTTTTTTTCACTGACCTGGGTTATCAGGGCTGCAGCTGAGCTGTGGGTTAGTTGGATGGTCTCGGGTCTCTTCTGAGCCTCCATTCACCAGGCTACAGCAGCAGGCAGCGCCCCCTTCTGAGCCTCCATTCGCCAGGCTACAGCAGCAGGCAACGCCCCCTTCTGAGCCTCCATTCGCCAGGCTACAGCAGCAGGCAGTGCCCCCTTCTGAGCCTCCATTCGCCAGGCTACAGCAGCAGGCAGTGCCCCCTTCTCGCTTCAGTAGCCACAGCAGATTAAAGCTCCGGCTCCGCGATGAAGTGAAGGCCCTTGGCCGCAGCCATGCATACAAAGATAAAATGTGCTACAACATTCCTTTTATTCTCCCTCCTTTCGGGTCTCCAGTGCCCATATCTTACCTCCCATGCGGCAGGTAAGGAATTGTTGCTAAAAGTTCTTTCCTTGGGGAGATATAAACATTGACTTCCTCTCCTCTTAAGTCCCAAAAACCAAGGTAGAGTGCCACCAAAGTTAACCCAGGAACCAATGGACGTGTTAGGTGTCTTACAGAGCAGGGGATGAGGGGATGAGGGCAGAGGTGGCCTTAGAACAACAGTCTGCACGGGGGCAACGGGACTTCCCGGGATTGCTTCAATGAAGCTTTTCTCCTGTACGCTCTCGCCTCTCCCCACAAGACCACGTGCCAAGGGGCAGAGCTGCCTACAACTGGTTGGGAGGGGTGGTTTGATACTCAAGGGAGGGTCCCAAGATGTTTCCCGCCCCCTCCTCTGAGGGAGGGAAAGCAGGCAGAACTCCTAAAGATGGAGGATAGTCCTGTACAATGGGAGTTACCCGCGTAGCCATTGAGAGACCTCTCCTCAGAGCTAGAGGACCGGGGCTGTGTTCCGACAGGAGCTTACAGCAGGCTAGAGGGGGCTCAGGCAGCGGCAGTGGAGCAGCCGGAGTGCACCTGACTCAGAGGCGCTCACCCCTGCCACTTCCTGTACACAGGTCCAGACACCCACACCTGTGCCCCGTTTCCTAGCAGCAGGCTGAGGAAGAAGACACTGGACCAGGGCAGTTTCCACACGGTCCACTGGAGAACAGGAGACACGAGGAAACATGCCTCTCAGAAGCCTGCCGTTCTCCGCTGTGGGAGCTTGTGGTGTCCGACACCCCTGGCTGGGAGTCAGGGCTTAAGCCTCAAGACCAGAGAGAAATGGAGGTGGAGCCCAAGAAGCCTTCCATGTGCAAAGCATTTGCAAATCAATGGTCCTGGGAGAATCTCATGGAGCCATTTTCTCCGCTGCCCTATTCGGAAAGGGGCTTTCCTGTGCACTCCCAAAGCCACTTCCTTTTTAAATTCTAGGGTCTGAAGTTTTGTCTTCTTTTGCTTTTCCTAAAGAAAATATTAAATTATAGAGAATGACCAATGTAATGTTAAATAATAAGTTGTTTCAGAGACTGTGAAAAATTATTTTAAATATTGAATGAAAATAAATAATTCTGAAAATAAGGACTTAGTTGTTTTGTGTGCGCACATTCCTGGCAAGGCCAGTGCTGGGGCCAGAGAGACGGTTGAGTTCTTCCTGAAGACCAGGTTTGATTCCCAGATCACAGCTGTCTGAAACTCCAGTTCCACGGGATCTGATGCCTTTGTCTGGCCTCCTCGTGCACCAGGCATGCATGTGGTACAGCCGACAAACCTATACACATAAAATAATAATCATTTTTTTTAAATGTCAAAGGCTCTGGATTACGTTTTCATTTGGTTCTGACCACTACAGAACTGTCAAGCATAGCCCGGGTCAGATCCATATTTTAAATGACAAGAGAACTTCCGTTAGTCCTAACTGGCAACGTATGTGAGCTTCTCCATAGGACTGCCATTTCAGCTGCCAATCCTGCATGAGAGCACTGTTGCTGGAGTCATTTCTCCTGCCTTTCAAGAATCTTTAATTGCAAAAATAATAAATGCCTTTTGAAAAGTCCAATGGGCTATAAAAGCCCCCAATACAGTGACAGTTCTCAGAGGGAACAGTAGCTGTCTATACGCACATACACCTAAATACATCTATACACTACGGTACACATTTCAACAACTGCACCCCCATCTTCTCTGTAAATCTGGAGTGAACCTAGCCGCTCGTGTGCTAGGCAAGCACTCTGGCATCGAGCTGCATCTCAGCCCCCAGCCTGTTTAGTCAGACTGAACCCGGCTCTACACATTACCTATGGCTCTTCCTGGTGTGTCTTGGCATTATCTCACGTCTCTTTACTAAAATCCTTTTACTTCATGACAGATTTTTTTTTTAATTTTTTTAAATTTTGAGACGGGGTGGGGGCGTTGCTGGAGAGATGGCTCAGAGGTTAGAGCACTGACTGCTCTTCCAGAGGTCCTGAGTTCAATTCCCAGCAACCACGTGGTGGCTCACAACCATCTGTAATGAGATCTGGTGCCCTCTGCTGGCCTGCAGGCATACATGGAGGCTGAACACGGTGTACATAATAAATAAATAAATATTTTAAAAAAATTTTTTTGAGACAGGGTTTGAAGTTTGTAGTTTGAGACTACATCCAGGAATTCCATGTGCCTCTGCCTATCAAGCGCTGAGATCAAAGGCTTACAGCACACCATGCAAAAATAAAAATCTTAGGCCAACTTTCTGCTATTATCTCAGATTACAGACACACAATATTCTACTCACATTTTTATCATGTGTGGTACGTGTGCATGTGTGCACTGTACACGTGTGCATGCATTGTGCACAAGGAAACATGAGGTGGATGTCACCTATCTCCCTTGATGGCTCTCCAATTTATAGGGTGAGGGCTCCAGGGACCCCAGCTCTGCCACAGGAAACTGAGACTATAGGCAGATCGATACAAACATCTAACATTTGTCTAGGTGCTGGGACCTAAGACCGTGCTTACTCTAACACAGCAGTACTACCCTGGGGCCACCTCCCGTCTTGCTCCCCACTAGTGATGCCCCTCCCCCACCTGGCTCCCCACTGGTGATGCCCCTCCCCCACCTGGCTCCCCACTGGTGATGCCCCTCCCCCACTTGGCTCCCCACTGGTGATGCCCCTCCCCCACGTGGCTCCCCACTGGTGATGCCCCTCCCCCATGTGGCTCCCCACTGGTGATGCCTTTGACTATCACCTTCTAGGAATTCAGTGTTTAATAAAGTGGAGGCATCCCAGGGGAAGCTTGTCTGAGTATTGGAGTGAGAGAGGACACTGCCAATGTAGGATTTGGTTTTACAGTGTACATATGGGAAGGTTAAATTCCATTGGTGTAAAAGGCCCACCTATGCCTCCAAATGTCTTTTTTCAGGAAGCACATACTTTGCCTGCTTTAGGACTTTTTACTTGACTAAACTTCTTAAGTAATTCTAAAGTCAAGTGCAGTCAGCTCTATGAAGTTTTTCTACAGCCAAGGGCTTAGCCACCACTAGCAGGGCTGTTTCAGTTTCTGTACAAAGTGGGGCAGGACACCAAGTCCAAACACCTTTAAGGCGAAAAAACACCCAAACTTGTCATTTGTCTAGAATCACACTTCAGACTGAAGCAGAATGGTCACAAATTGAAGGTCAACCTTTGCTACAAAATGTCTCAAATCACAAAGCAAAAAAAAAAAAAAAAAAAAAAAAAAAAAAAAAAAAAAAAAAAAAAAAAAAAAAAAAAAAAAAAAAACTCACACCAAAAAGCAAGACCTGATGACCTCTTTCTGCAGAGGAAGTCAAAGATGAATAGAATGCGGAAGCATCTAGAGCAGGGAAGGTGCTTCTGGCGTGGGTAGCCACTTACGAGGGAAGACAGAGTAGTGAGAAACAAGCCCTAGACCACACTGTCTCCTGCATTCCCTTCTGAGAAGTTCTTAGCAGCTCTTGTTGACCCAGGGGAGTAACAGGCACTTCACTTCCCAAATATCCAAGAGCCCCAGTGTTGGGGTGGGGGAGGGGGACTGCTTCCTGCGGGTGACCTTGGCGCCTTTCAGAGAAAGGGCCTGCGTGTTCAGTGAATCTGCATCCTAAGATGTTCTTGGTGGTTTTAAAGAAACACTAAGGAGTGGTTGATTTGAGACACAGATTATATGGGTTGTAAGAAATTCACAAAGCACTTGGAGATTTTAAACACAAAGCTTATGTTAACATCAAAGATAGGATTTTTTTATTTCACTTTATTTTAAAAAGCAAATTCAAGTCCTTAAGTTAGTAATGCTTTCACGTTAGCTGTATAAAAAAATGTATTTTACATCTCCCCATACTGCATACTACCACAGTACAGAAACGTTTCTCTTCCAAAGCACTCGTCACTTATAAAGTGAGAGGATGCCAGCTGCTGACTTTCACACGGGGCTCCAGTACTGATACAGAAGACGTCTCTCTCCTTGTGCTTGTAGCTGCAAACAGCCAAGTCAATGCTCTAGAACTTGTTCTGGAGAAAATCACAACAGACAGGGGCTCAGTGCAGACATAAGCAGCTCCATTTTATAAACGAAATTACGGCCCTCCATCTTGTTCCACTGAACCTCCTTGAATGGTCCACGCAGATGACTCCACTTGTTGTCTTGTAAAACGTCACTCTTCGGAAGGTCTTTGCATTGGTTCCGGGGAAACTGAACCATAATCTTGCTGCCACTCTCAGGTCCATTACGAACTATTGACGAAAGCAATAATCAGTACGCACACTTTGAAACTTATGAAGTGATGGAAAAACCACACTTCGTCTGTGAGCACAGAAACCTACCCAACAGCTTAGACAATCTCATTAACAAGGGTTTCAGGAGCTGGTCATGGTGGTGTACACCCCTAACCCCAGCACCTAGGAGGTACAGTCTGCAGGATCACGAGTTCAAGGCTAGTTTTGGCTACATAGTAAGTTCAAGGGCAGTGCTTCATTTCCAAAATACTAAATTTATTTATTAATTTATGCACGTATATGTATGTATGAATGCATGTGTGTATGTACATGTGGAAGTCAGAAGACAACTTCCAATTTGTTCCCTCTGACCACCATGTGGATCTTGGGCCCAAACTCAGGTCATCAGGCTTGGGGGCGAGTGCCTTACCTGCTACATCTTGTCAGACCTCCAAATGCTAAATTTTTACACAAACTCTAAGATGATTTAAGTATCTTTGAATTATTTGTCCTATAAAAATTAGACAAGAGGGGCTGGAGGGAGGGGATGGAGAGATGGCTCAGAGGTTGGGAGCGCTGACTGCTCTTCCGGAGGTCCTGAGTTCAATTCCCAGCAACCACATGGTGGCTTACAGCCATTTATAATGAGACCCGGGGACCCCTTCTGGCTTGCAGGCACACGTGGAAGGAATGCTATACACATAATAAATAAATAAATAAATAAATAAATATTTAAAAAAAATTAGACAAGATATGTCAGGTGTTGTGACCTATGCCTGCAATCCAAGCCCTCAAAGGCCTAGACAGGAGGACCAAGGCTGACCTAGGCTACAAAGCAAACTCAATACCAGGCTGAGCTATACAGAGTTTGAAGCCAGCCTAAACTCCATACAAGACCTGGTCTCCCAGAAAAAGAAATAAAGGAAGAACTCTTGGTTTCAAAGAAGTTTGAACTGATGCAGGGAGATTTAAAACATGGCCCTGTGAACTTACCAGTAGCCTCAGTTTAAGAACAGAAGCTTGCTTAGTAAGTTCTCGCACACCTTCCTCCCTTCCCTACACACACGTTCACTCCTGACTTGAGTAACAAATAATATCAGCAAACAGCAGTGTAAACACATTAGCTCATCACAGTCAGATGGCTTCAACTCATGTTTAGTTATTAAAGCGGAATGTTACAGAGTTACCTCCCATACCGAGCAGCGGAAAGTACCTGAAATAGCATAGTCACCACTTGGGGAGGCCACTGTGATGGCGGAGGCATTGCCGATGCTCTCTATGGGCCCGAGTCCCACGTGGTTACTGAAGCTGAGGACCTGCCAGCCCATGACCTTGGCAAGCTGCTGAACCGCGTGCACCTGGTGCTGTGACATCTGTGAACGAGAAGGTGTGACTCAAGCTTGGGCACACTCTCGTGATCTGATGGAATCAATCCTAAGTTTGCCTTAACCTCTGGCCCAAATCTGGGGAATTTTTCTGTGTGACATGACTCTAGAGGGGAGGGGAGGGCCCCACCTTCCATGGCACTGTCTCTCTGTGTCCACTGGCCTAGAGTGCAGACTCCATTAGCTTTCTGTGTTCTCTGGCTTCAGGTAATGGCAGCCATTTAAGCAGGGGTTACTAAATGCAGCCAGCAAAATGGTAAGGAACAGAGTGGGCCAGGTCTTGTCTTCCTGGTACTGCCCCTCTGAAGCTGGCTACATCAGTTGGGTATCATGACAAAAAAGCTACTCATTTGGTAAAGAGGATTGTTCTACGTCACAGCCCCC